AACTAAGAGAGGAGGTAGCCCGGTTATTCAACAAAGGGCACCTTTGAGAATTTTTAAGCGATAGGGCGAAGAACTATTTTAAAAACAGGGATTTAAGCAAGCTAAACGAATAAGAAGAACCACATCATGTCATTCACATGATCATCGGCGGCGTCGATACCCTCAAGGACAGGTGCTTAAACGCATTAAGACATCAATTGTGAGAAAAAAGCGATCTCGAACTCAGGGTTACGCACCCATAGAAACTTTGTCCTTCGATGATGAAGATGCAGAAAGAGTCATACAACCTCATAACGATGCACTGGTAATATCCGTACTGATGAATAAAACTAAAGTTAAGCGTGTGTTAATTAATCCAGGTAGCTCGGCCAACATCATTAGATTGAAGGTCGTGGAACATCTCAGTCTACAGGACCAAATCGTACCCGCAACCCTGGTTCTAAACGGATTCAATATAGCATGTGAAACCACCAAAGGTGAAATAATTCTACCGATAAACGTGGCCATGACCATCCAGGAAACAAAGTTTCACGTAATCGAAGGTGACATGAGGTACAACGCCCTTTTTGGAAGGCCATGGATCCACAACATGAGAGTTGTACCTTTGACCCTACACCAGGTCCTTAAATTTCCAACATCAAGGGGAGTCAAAACAGTGTACGGAGAACAACTGGCCGCAAGAGAAATGTTTGCCATCGAGGAAATGAATCTGATGTCCTCGCCTTCGCTAATAAAGGGATCGGGCTCAAAAGGGGAACGAGATGCCAAATAGCAATCACAGACATCAGCTTTAACTCGACCAGAAAATCAGGAGATCGATGAAGATGATGATCAAAGGATCCCTCGATCCTTCATAGTTCTTGATGATTCTGACGCTACCAAATCAACGGTTGAGGAATTGGAGCAAGTCACACTAATCGAGCACTGGCCCGAACGGAAGGTATAACTGGGAACGGGGTTGACCCCTAAACTCAGGAAAACAACTTATTCAATTTCTTATCGATAACGTAGATTGTCTTGCCTAGTCCCATTTAGATATAACAGGGATCCCACCGGATATAACGAACTATCGGTTGAGCTTGGATCCTAGGTCCAGACTGGTGAAGCAAAAGAGAAGATCCCAGTCCGAGGTAAAGCACGTATTCATAAAGGACGAGGTAACCAAACTTCTCAAAATAGGGTCCATTCGGGAGGTGAAACATCCCGAATTGTTAGCCAATGTAGTTGTAGTACCTAAAAAAGGGAACAAACTTAGAATGTGTGTAGATTATAAGGATTTGAACAAAGCATGCCCCAAAGATTCCTTTACGCTGCCCAACATCGATCGCATGATCGATGCCACGGCCGGCCACGAGATCCTTACTTTTCTTGATGCCTATTCCTGGTATAATCAAATTCAAATGAACATGGAAGACCAGAAAAAGACTTCATTTGTCACCAAGTATGGAACATATTGTTATAATGTGATGCCCTTCGGGCTAAAAAATGCAGGAGCTACTTACCAACGCCTAGTAAATAAAATATTCGAGGAACAAATAGGTAAATCAATGGAAGTTTATATTGATGACATGCAAGTTAAGTCCCTGCGCGCAGAGGACCATTTGACCCATTTGCAGGAAACATTCAAGATTTTAAGTAAATACAACATGAATCTCAACCCCGAGAAGTATGCTTTCGGGGTCGGTTCGGGCAAGTTCCTCGGCTTCATGGTGTCAAATCGGGGGATCGCGCCATCGTGGATAGCGTAAAAGTCATACAGAGGCTAACGGGGCGGATTGCAGCCTTAGACCAATTCATTTCAAGGTCGTCAGATCGAAGTCACAAATTTTTCTCTTTACTCAAAAAGAAGATTTTGCTTGGACCCCGGAATGCCAACAGGCATTGGAGGAATTAAAACGATATCTATCGAGCCCACCACTGCTTCATACTCCAAAAACAAACGAAAAACTTTGCTTGTACTTGGCAGTATCAAAAATCGCGGTAAGCGGTGTCCTAGTTCGAGAAAAGCAAGGTACGTAATTTCCCATTTATTATGTAAGTCGAACCTTAGGAGAAACAGAAACTAGATATCTGCACCTAGAAAAATTGGCACTTGCACTGATAAGCTCTTCTAGAAAGTTAAGACTGTACTTTCAATGTCATTCCATATGCGTATTAACTACTTACCCGCTTCGTAATATTTTGCACAAGCCCGAATTATCATGCCGATTGGCCAAATAGGCCGTCGAACTCAATGGGTACGATATCGAATATCAACCCCATACGGCCACAAGTTTCAAATTTTGGCGGACTTCATGGCCGATTTCACACCGACCCTCGCACCCGAAGTCGAAAAAGAACTCTTATTGAAATCGGGTACATCATCGGGGGTATGGACCCTTTTTACAGACGGGGCTTCAAATGTGAAGGGGTCCGGGCTAGGCATCATTTTAAAGCCACCCACGGGTAACACTATTAGGCAATCTATCAAAAATATTAAGTTAACTAACAACGAGGCCGAGTATGAGGCCATGATTGCAGGCCTCGAGCTAGCTAAAAGCTTGGGAGTGGAAGTCATTGAAGCCAAGTGTGACTCTTTGCTGGTGATAAATCAAGTAAACAAAACCTTCGAAGTTCGAGAAGATAGAATGCAAAGGTATTTGGACAAACTGCAGGTCACTTTGCACCATTTCAAAGAATGGACTTTACAGCATGTTCCACAAGAGTAAAACAGTGAGGTTGATACACTTGCAAATTTGGAATCATCGGTCGAAGAAGGTGAGTTAAGCTCGGGGACTGTCGTTCAACTCTCGAGATCCGTGATCTAAGAAGGTCATGCCGAGATAAATTCTACGAGCTTAACATGGGATTGGAGAAATAAGTATATTGAATACTTAAAGAATGGAAAGCTCCGACCAGACCCTAAAGATTCGAGGGGCCTACGAACCAAAACTGCTCGATTCATATTAACTGCAGATGGAACACTATACTGAAGGACATTCGATGGACCATTAGCCGTATGCTTAGGTCCAGGAGACACCGATTACATCCTACGTGAGGTGCACGAGGGCACTTGTGGAAATCATTCTGGTGTCGATTCATTAGTCCAAAACATAATCAGGGTAGGGTATTATTGGATCGATATGGGCAAAGATGCAAAGGAGTTTATTCAAAAATGTGACAAATGTCAAAGGTTTGCACCAATGATCCATCAACCCGGAGAACAACTTCACTCANCAGTCGAAGTCGGGGAACCCAGTGCCAAGTTTCGATATACAACAGAAGAGTCAAATAACTAGGCTATGAACACTAGCCTCGAATTTTCAAATGAAAAACGAAAAGTTGCTCTCGTCCAATTGGCCACCCAAAAGCAGTGAATCGAAAGGTACTATAATCGAAGAACCAAGCTTCGCCATTTTAAACTCGGGGACTTAGTGCTAAGGAAAGTCACCCTCAGTACCCGAAATCCAAACAAAGGAAAACTAGGACCGAATTGGGAAGGACCATATCAGGTTCTCGAGAACGTCGGAAAACGATCATATAAGCTCGACATTATAAACGGCAAACAACTATCAAGCAATTGGAATGTTTCGCACCTAAAATGATACTATTGCTAAGGTACGACCCTCCCATATTCGTTTACATTTCGAAACTAAACCCTGCAGGAGTCCGATCAGGAGTTAGGATGGATCCTTCAATACGAAGCCCTAGGTCTGAAAGCATGCGTTGCACTCTTTTTCCCTTAGACCGGTTTATCCCAAATGGGTTTTTCGGCAAGGTTTTTAATAAGGCAACCAATGATCGTGCTATACTTAGAAACAATTCGACAGTATCCGAGGCCTCTTTACAATCGACCTCGAATACTGGGGGGCATTAGCCCTCAAATACATAAAGATTCTGATGCAAGAAAGTTATTTTGTAACAACAAGGTTCCAATAGGAAAAGTTGTAAGAGCCAAATGGTCAAAACGAACCATGCTCATATAGTTGGCCCGAGCCCTGACACAAAACATGAACACATGTATAATGACTTGTAAAGAAAGTTCTCTTCTTTACCGATATCATATATCCAAGAAAAATTCCTCTATTTCGAGATTTATTATGCGAACAAGCTTGAGTTCGAGCAAGCATTCACTCGACTATTACGCCTACGGGTTACTTCGAGTTCGAATTATTCACTCGACTACTAAGCCTACGGGCTAATTTTATTTCAAGTTCGAGAAAGCACTTACTCGACCATTACGCCTACGGGCTACATTACTTCGAGTTCGAATCATTCACTCGGCCACTAAGCCTACGGGCTACTTTTATTTCGAGTTTGATCAAGGACTCACTCGACCATTACGCCTACAGGCTACATTACTTTGAGTTCGAATCATTCACTCGACTACTAAGCCTACGGGCTACTTTTATTTCGAGTTCGAGTAAGCACTCACACGGCCATTATGCCTACGGTCTGCATTACTTCGAGTTTGAATCATTCACTCGACTACTAAGCCTACGGGCTACTTTTATTTCGAGTTCGAGTAAGCACTCACACGGCCATTATGCCTACGGTCTGCATTACTTCGAGTTTGAATCATTCACTCGACTACTAAGCCTACGGGCTACTTTTATTTCGAGTTCGAGTAAGCACTCACACGGCCATTATGCCTACGGTCTGCATTACTTCGAGTTTGAATCATTCACTCGACTACTAAGCCTACGGGCTACTTTTATTTCGAGTTCGAGTAAGCACTCACACGGCCATTATGCCTACGGTCTGCATTACTTCGAGTTTGAATCATTCACTCGACTACTAAGCCTATGGGCTACCTTATTTCAAGTTTGAATAAGCACTCGCTCGGTTGTAAAGGCTACGAAATCCAAATTCGATCAAATTGCCTAAATCCTTATGAAAACATTCATAAGGCATGAATACAAAGCAGGGAACAAAACAGAAGCAAGTCGGTAAAAGGAAAATATATTTATATATATACACAAGATTGTTTACATGATTGATTGCAACATAGAAACTAAGGGCTAAGTTTCTTGGCTATCTCCGGAAGCAGTCTCTTCTCCACCGGGCTCCCCCCCGTTCTCGAACCCGCTCTTACTCTCATCATCTTCTTCATTATCATCATCATCATCATCGAAAGCCAAGGATTCAGCATCGGTTTCGAGTTCTTTATCCCTTTTTATCTCTTCAGCGAGATCAAAACCTCGAGCATGGATCTCCTCGAGGGTCTCCCTCCGAGATCGGAACTTAGCAAGTTCACCGACCCAATGTGATCGAGTATCGGCGGTCATGGCTACCTCTCTTGCTTGGACCTGGGCAGCTTCAGCATCGGCCCGATAGACGGGCCATGAGTGCATCTGCATAGGTCTTTGCCTTTTCGGCGTCAGACTCAGCTTTTGCAAGTTCAGAGGCAAATCGAGCCTCGAGCTCCTCTATTCTTCTTGCTTGAACTGAGCCTTTCTCCTTTATACTTTGAAGTTGGTCTTTGGCTGATGATAATTGGGCTTGAGCAGCTTCTTTCTCTGCAGCAAAGCGGTCCATACCTTCTTTCCATTTCAAAGACTCCGCTTTTATCACATCGACCTCCTCACGGAGTTTCCCGATCATCTCAATTTTTTGCTGCAGCTGTGAGACCGAAAAATTAGCCATCGTTCCGGTATCGAGCCCATAAACTTTTAAAAGTATCATTACCTACTCAGACAGATCGGTCTGATCTTGGTGAGCCTTGGCCAGCTCAGCTCGGAGGTCTTTTATTTCCTTACCCCTTTGCCCTAAGAGGAGTTTAAGGGAGTTCCTCTCCTCTATAGCCCGTTAAAGATCGGCCTCCTATCGATGCATCTCGGTTCGGGACTGAGAACATGCTTCTTGATGAACTGCCGCGGCCTGCAAAAAAAGAAGAAACGAAGTTAGAAAAGAAAAGCAAACATAAAGGTAATACCAACAAAATAATTTAAGGCTTACCTGATTCAAAGCCTGCTGCACTCCGTGAAAAAGATCTAATGCATCACTAGTACCGGCAACGTCCTCGACACCGGTAAACAGGTCACGAAAAGGATCCTCTCCATTATGAAGCCTGTCTAGTTCGAGGGCCCCCAAAGCTTGGGCTTCNACGAAGTTAGAAAAGAAAAGCAAACATAAAGGTAATACCAACAAAATAATTTAAGGCTTACCTGATTCAAAGCCTGCTGCACTCCGTGAAAAAGATCTAATGCATCACTAGTACCGGCAACGTCCTCGACACCGGTAAACAGGTCACGAAAAGGATCCTCTCCATTATGAAGCCTGTCTAGTTCGAGGGCCCCCAAAGCTTGGGATTCCCGAATCGCCCCTGCGAAAAAAGCAGGGAAGGTGGGCGAGTCTTCGATTGCTACTGCCCCAAAGGAATCACTTGGAGCATTCTCTTCGGTTCGAAGAGATTCGGAGAGAGCCCTTTCAGACATATTTCCCATCTGTTAGCTTCGATGGGAAGCATCTTCGATCTCCAACAACTTGGGGAATCTGCCCAAATCTTTCTCCGATATATCCTCAGTTCGAGGCGGAGCCTTATAAACCACTACCGATCCAGCTGCATGTGGAACGTCGGTGGTCTTCTTCGTTCGGGCCGCCAGCGCAGACCTATCATTTTTTTCTTCTTCTTCGTCTTCATCCCTTAGACGCAAAACTGATTCTACGGTCAAAGGAATGGTGTTCTTGTTCGGCTTACAAGCCGTCCTCTTCTTCGGTTTTGGACTTTCGGGAACGAAGGCCCTTTTCCTCTTATTATCTTTCACCGGCTTCGGGACAGAGGCCAAAGCCTCTTCCTCGACAGACGAGGGCCTCAAAATCGCATCTTTGCCTGTACCTACATATGAAAAATTTTATTAAAGTATATGGAAAGCATCTTGTTCGAGTTACCAAAAAATACGAGAAAGGGGCTTACCGTGATTTTTGGCCTCCCATCGGCCCTTTGACAAGTCACGCCATGAGCGCTCGGCGTATGTGGAGGTCGAAACCAGATCCCGTACCCAATTTTTGAGATCGGGAACTGCGCCGGGCATCTAGGGAACCGCTGCATCATAAAAAGGGGTATATCGGTAAGAAAATAAATGAAAGGACAAAATAGTAAGAGATAACAGTAGAATTACACTTACGCTTCATGTTCCACTCCTCGGAAAAAGGCATATTTTCGGTCGGAATCAGGTCTGAAGTCCTTACACGAATGAACCTGCCCATTCAGCCTCGATCCCTGTCCTCGTCTATGCTCGAGAACAAAGCCTTGGTAGCTCAGTTGGAGTTTTATTAACCCTCCTCGAAAAAGGCGAGGACGGTACAATCAGATGAGATGATCGAGGGGGAAAGGAATCCCCTCGATTTTGTTCACAAAGTATCGGATCAAAATAATGATCCGCTAGAAGGAAGGATGGATCTGGACTAAGGTTATTAGGTATTTACGACAAAAATCTATGATAACAGGGTCGAGGGGACCTAACGTGAAAGGGTAAGTGTACACACTTAAAAATCCTTTCACGTGAGTAGTAATATCCTCTTCGGGAGATGACACTACCACTTCTTTGTTCCCCCAGTTACAATCTTTTTTTATCTGTTCGATATACCCCTCGGTTATCGAACAAATGTATCTCGATACGAGCTCACATCGGCCGGGAACCGGCGAATCTTTATCGAGTTTGAAATCGGACGTAAGAACGCACGTTGCCTGAACGCACTCCTCAGGTCGTGGATCCACCGGTGTTTTGTCGACGGCGGATTGAGAAGAAAAAGCTTTTTCTTTTTGGGGAACGGTTTTTGATGTCTTCACAATTTTTTTTTGGATTTAAAGAAGATGACTAAGATTTGATGGTTTAGAAGAAGATTTTGCAGAAAAGAGTCACAGATCAACGAATGAACTCCGAAAAGACGAAAAAGAACTTGAAAAATTTTCTGAAGATTGAAGAAGTAAAAGTGATGAATGGTGGACGGAAAGGCTATTTATAGATTGAAACAATGATGGTTCAATATCAGCGATGGCAGACCACCGTCTGACATGCATTAAATGCCTTGAAAATCTAAATCGACGGGATAACTATCACGTGCGTCATGATCGAGCCCAATATGAACGTCAGTTTATAATCTAATCGAGCCATTGAGAAATCATATCGTTTCTCACCACATCCTTCCCGAGAAATGAGGGGACTATCTGTATACGGTTGAAATAGATTTCGGCATTCATATGATTGATCGGGTCGAAACATAATGGGTCAAAGAAAGACTTCGTAATATCGAGATGGGTTCCGAAGGTGGTACAAACAAGCTTCAGATTTCGGGTATAGATCAAACACCGAGTTCGAAGTCATTATCGAGCTCGGGTCCGAATCGAACTATGATGAGATAATTTCGAGCTTAAGGGGAAGAGGCCAACCGGGATCGAGTCTAAATCATCACTTGATCCCGAATACATATCGAGTTCTAGAAGCAATACCGACCAGCACCGAGGCCGATCGAGCTCGAGCTCACAGACAAGAGCCGTTGCAAACACACCAAGGGAGAGAATCTCGGTAGAAATTAGGGAAAAGCTAATTTATCATGGGTTCTCCACTATGTATTTTTAAATATATCTAAAGTAGGATCCACCACTATAAAGAGGATGGCTACATTTATGTAGAGGGCAGTTCTTTGGCTTACATTGTGATTCAAGTACCATATTCTCCTGTATTCAAGAGTTACTCTTCTAAGCTTAATAAATTAATTCAGCTTGCTTAGTCCTAAAAATCAGCTTCTTTACAACCTTGTTTATTTTGCATTCTTTACAATCCATATTTGATATTTCTATTTATCCTTACGATTTGTATCAAACTATACCACATATCCTTAGAATTACGTACAAATTCAACTCTATTCGTTTTTCGGGTAAATAAAATTCTCACTCCAACCTTAGACCTAATTTTGAAAACTTATCACTACTCATTATATTTTCAATCACTATGTAGCTATTACAAAAGAAAAACATAAATCATAACCTGTCATTCTACATATGTGTGCAAAGGTCCATAACTAATTCCCTGTATATGTAATATTCTAATATTAAGATCCAAAACAATCCTAACTGGTTTTGTCCATATTGAAGGGTAAGATTTCTTTCATTAAATTAAATATTCAATTCCCAATGCTTCATGATTATGTCTGCCATGCTCAATTATTCCTTTGTCTTCTCCTAATCATTAGCCTACTTTACAAAAACATAACTAATGCTTCACTGCAAATTCAATATCATGTATATCATTGTACGAAAGTTGATCAAAATACCTGATTATATAGCCTTTTTCTCCACAAAATTCCAGTGAGAAGCTATCCAAAATAAAGAGCAGCCAATCCCTACTACTCGTTCCTTCTGTTTTGCCGTCACAGTGCCCTATATTAATCTCACTGTAATTTGTTATCTCCTCGTGAATAAAGGAATCAAAGTTTGCCCCACTTTAAACTTTTAAGGCCTAAACGTGTAGCACATCAGATGTGGGCTTGAGCCCACTACTTTATTTATATTATTATTAGTATTATTATATTGCTTACTAGTATGCCTAATTATAATATTCTATCTTATATATTATCATAAAAAACAAATTCACTAACTTAGTATTTGACCCAATAGCTATAAAAAAAAAATTAATTCTCTAGTCTCATAATTAATAAGTATAGAGCATTTTTCTCTCAAATTTCTGCCGTCATTATAGCAGTGAACAGTGCCAAACAGTACCGTGAACAGTGACTTCATCGCGGACAAAGCTGGAGCTTTAGGCTTCAATGGCCACAATGGCCAGCGACCAACCAGCTTTTCCGACTGGTCTGCCCTCCCCCAGCGTTTCACAACAACATACAACAACTAACTCCAACCCAGCTCTTCTAGATTACTCGAAGATTTTGAAACCAAATTCTTTAAATCCTCCAGCGATGGCTACCGCTGCAGCTTCAATTCAACCCATTCCACTGCGACGAGCAGTGTATTTGAATGGCCAACCGGTGTTAAATTCACAGAGGCAGAAGTAGATAGAATGAACGTGATTGAAGGCCTCCAATATGCTATCGTTGGCAAGCTTTCATATGAATCTCCGGAGATTCACGAGCTTCGCCGAATAATTTCAACTCAATGTGGTATCAAAGGCGAGTGTAATATCGGATTCCTTAGAGATCGTCATGTGTTAATTAGATTAACTCTATGGCAAGATTTTCTCGATTTCACATCGAAAAGTACATACTACATCAAAGCCAAAGATGGATACGAATACCAATTGCGTACTCTTATCTACGATGCAAAATTTAAGGCGGGTGAAGAAACTCCGATGGCGATTGCGTGAATTTCTTTTCCTGGACTGCTGCCTACCTTTTTTGTAAAGGAAACTCTGTTTTCTTTGGCTACAGTTGTGGGAAGGCCAGTGTGTCTTGACGGGGCAACTACAAACAAAACTAGGCCGAGTTGCGCAAGAGTAAAAGTTCTTATCGATTTGTTGGCCGAACTACCTAAAAAGGTGCGATTGGATATTGATGATGAAACTTCTGGTGGTGTTTGAACAGAATGGGTGAGAATTCAGTATGACATGCTACTAAAATATTGTAAGGAATGTAAACTACAAGGACATAATGAAATTGAATGTTGGCATTTGCACCCCGAGCTTATTGAGAATCGAAGCAGCAAGAAAAGGAATGATCTTGCTGAGTTGAATAACTGGAATTCTGCTGCTGATGAACAAGGAAAAACCAAAAATCACACTACCCCTTTAATGATTCTCACGAGTGGAAAAGTAGTCGAGAACGTAGGTGCACAGTGGAAGAAAGTTTGGGATAATCGGGGAACCAACAAAAATAATAAAACCCAGGTACAAGGGCAAACTGGCAATGCAATCATGCCAGTGAATGCTGGTGTAAAGCAGGTGTATAATAACTTTGCACTGATGGAGGTCGAAGAAGATCAGACAAACAAGGTTCAAACAAGGAATAAATTTATAGTATTAGAGGAGGAACAAAGTGATATAAACGAGAACAACCAACTGGTTTTGGTGGGGAAAAAACTAGTCTTCAGTTCTAAAGATGGTCCTACTCCTTCTGGGATTCAGTCCACAATCGACTGGGTTCATAGAAGGTTTGGGACTAGCAAAAAGGAGCTAAAACAACTCAATGTGACCACAAACCAATCTTGTCATGCGATTCCATCTCAAACTTTTAAAGATTCTAGGCAGATGGAGGATCTTGATGAGCTAAACTCTACAAAGGTCTTATGGAGCGATGCAGTTGAGGTTAAGAATGATCAGCTGGGCAAAACAAAGACAATAGAAGACAAGGTGAAGAAGGACAATAATCCAAGCTCACCTGGCTATAAGCTGGCGACGCCAAAGCTAAAGCCAGGCTCACCGGGTGATAGGCTGGCGACGCCAGGCCTAAAGCAAGGCTCACCTGGCGATAGGCTGGCGACGCCAGGCCTAAAGCCAGGCTCACCCGGCGATAGGCTGGTGACACCAGGCCTAAAGCCAGGCTCACCTGGCGATAGGCTGGCAACGCCAGGCCTAAAACCAGGTTCACCTGATGAGGGAACTACAGTAAACCCCAACCTTAGAGCCACTGGAGAGATTTTGGCCTATGTAGATGGTGTTCCGGCGTATGTCCATGAGCTACAATTCAAGGAGTATGAACAGGCTGATGAGTGGGCAATTGTTCCAAGAGCATCCGGGAAATAGAGGAAGTGCCTATGGAATCTGGCACTGATCAAACCATGCAACTACATATTAATGTTCTAACTAAGTCTCCTCTACAACATTTACATGATTTAGTTACACACAATGTGACACCAATTGATGAAGACTTATTGAGACAAAATCCAATGGAGGATGAAGGAGATGATGAATCAACTGCCGAAAACTTCAAACAAGTGGCTAGGGAAGGGGATTTATCACCCACAACTAGTGCTAAAGGAGGTAAAAAAAACTAAGAAGAATCAGAGTAAAGATCTACCACAACCTTCAAGAATAATGCCTAGGAGGGCAGCTTCTCTATCTAGATGATGATCAAAACATTAATATAGAATATAAGGTCTGTGAATACACAACAGGCCTTTCCTAGGGTGATCAATATGAATAGGGAGCATAATTTTTGTGTAGTTGCATTGATGGAGCCTTTTCAAAAGAAGGGACTCATTGATA